AAATATAACTCTCGTTTCAGTTTATATTAAGATGATAAAATTGAACAGTGGGACTCACTTTAAAGAAGCTTTCCACGTATTGTAACACATATAATCCGCAGTCTGTGTAGTTTGATTGCTGAGGAACTTTTAACGATGCGCCTTTGATTGTATCCTTTGAAAACACTTTCTCACTGTTCATTTTCGCGATGTATTCACAACTTAGGTAATCCCTTAACGTCGCTACAACTCGCGCTCTACTCGCTCCAGCGAGAGAATCGAATATCAATATGCATGGTCTGTGGAAAATAATAAAAATTATATAAACGTGATAATCATACGAGCAATTAATTAACTTCTTACACTTTTATTGTGTCATTTTGCGGCACATCTTGCTCCATTTTGGATGAATTCATATTTTCCGCAGTCTCCGATTCATCCTAAATTAAAAATTGTTAATAAATAATGCAATTGTTTAAACTGACTTAGCTTTTGGCTGATCATGATATTCGGAATCTTACATCATCGTCACTGTCCATTTCCATTTCCTCGTCATCGCCCTCAGCCTCATCTCTCTCCGAACCATCGTCACTTTGATCTATAGTTATAGTCGTCGTCACCGATGTAGAAGCCCCAATCGTAACAGCCTGAAGCTTTACTTCTTTCAACTTTTTACTCTTCTGTACGGTTTTACGAACGTCGTTTTCATCCGAACGTTTGTTCCGGGAAATTATCACGTCCCCCACTAATCCGGGAAAGCAGATGATGGCCAAAAACCAGTGAGCACTAAAATAGTATTTCAATTGTTTTTAAACTAAATTCAGATTTTTGTACAACATATTCGTTCACCAACTTACTGTTCATTAATGGGAATAATGATAAAATCTTTTTCAAATATATTGACGTTCTTAGTCCACTTCTGTACCCTCGCGTGTCTTTTGGCAGCTGGCGATAGTAACTGTACGTTGTTCTCAGCCGCTTGAGCATGCGGGCTTGTTAATCGTTTATAAAAATACGAACTGAACACGTGGGTTCTTTGCTGATCCGATTCCGAAAGAACCTCGAGCGTCAGATATTTCAAATAAAAGTCGATGATCACATCGTTTAAGAACTGATCCTCTCCGAGACACAAGTAATCCTCAGTGTTGATCGCTATGCCACCCTTTGCCGGTGGTGGTGGATACACGGTTATCGTTTGTATACCACCATTGGAGTTTGAATTATTCGTCGATCCTGTAACACTTTCCCTTCTAGTTAAACTCTGAATCTGTGAACTATCTTTTGGAGAAGCACGCACGAGGATATCGTTCGCTTCCTTCGAATTCAGCTCTTCTAATAATCGCTTCGACGAGAATAAACTTTTTAATACGGCTCTCGCTTCCTCCGACAATTTTTCTGGCAGTAAAGTTATACGCTTATGCGTGTTATCTGTGAAATAAGAATTATAATGTTGGCGTTATTATAAGATTCAATATACATATGTTTAAATTAATTTCTCTAGAATACATTGATTAACTACTAGATTATAACACTCCTTAATTACCTTTTCCAGCAGGATCATAGTAAGGGCCCTTCGGATCCTGCATTCCTAATAATTCCCGGATCATGGCTCCAGTGTTAATAGATGTATAAAAGAAAAGTACTGGCATTGATTTACCGAAATGGACTAACACTTTGACAATATCCTGAATCTTAACTTCTAATGATACAAACGTTTTATCTGCAATACGAACGTGTAAATATAATGGAGTGTACGTATACAATGCTGTTATTAACAAAACAGTTTAATTACCATCTTCTAATAATGGTACACCGAACCTTATACCGGTCGACGAAATTACTATTCGCTCTCGAGGAATATATTTATATGAGCCTATCCTCACTGTCCGACACAATAAAGATGTATGAGGGGCTTGTAAGGAATTATCTGAAAATAATATTCCATTTCTAATTATAAGATAATTTAAGTTAGGTTATGTGAACATATTACTTTACGCGAATTCATGTATACAGCCTTCTATATGCATTATACAGTTTGTCCAAATGACTTCTAACGAAAAGATAGCAACGTACCTTTAATATCTTCATTATTCATTGCATAATCAGAAGAACTCACACCAGAGATAGAATTATTTGTGATCACAGGCTCCTTTTCAAGAATAGTCTCCATCTCTTCATTAAAGCTATTACTACCGTCGTTTCCAAACGAATTGTTACTAGAGCCGTCGAATTTTTTGGATTTACCCTCCTCCTCATCGTCCGACGATATGGTTAAGCATTCTAGGAACAGCGAAGTTAAAATATTACGTTTCAAGTATTACAAATGTTGAAGTAAAATATAGCTTTTTAGTACCTGGTTCTTTGTGAATAGGCCTAGGTCTCGACATGCCTCTCCCTCTACCCCTCCCGCGTTTGTAAACGGTACCGTCTCGTTCCAATTTTTCTAATTTTGCTGAGGAATTTCTTTCGTTGTTCTTCTTGTAAAATGTCTATAAGAAAATTAACGAAATTCCTAATTAACAATCAGCAAATATATGTTGATTAGAAAATCTGTGAAACCTATTAGTTTCAATTATGTGATCAATATCAAGTATTAATTTTGTTTTATTTGTATAACAATTCTTGGTAAATTAATATTAACAATCCTTACATCAACAGATATCATTGACCGTTTTTTCTCCTGCGTGCCCATGGTCAATGGTATGGATTTTACATCTTTTGGTAGTTTTCTTTTACATCTTGAACATCGATTAAAATCAATGGAACTAATACCACAGTGAGAACAAACGGCCAACTTTCCTTCAACGTATACAGGCTCCTGTAACATGTCATTCATGTATCCATTCTACAGTTCTTATTTGCAATTATGATAAATAAATAACGAAGAAAATCAATTATTCTCAATACCTCATTCTGTTGTACAGGATTAATATTTTCATCCGGCGAGCTGAAATATTAAATAAAGCAGAATTTTATAACAATATCGTTTATATAAATTGAAACTCAGTATTTTATTATGAACACACGATAGTCTGAAATTCGTAATATGCACAAGTAATTTCTATCCTGTATTTGATTGAAAATGTGTCCACTACGAATTTTTGATCCTCTGTGTTAGAAGATGCCAAAGAAAAACTTACCTATGAGCAGCATCTAAATTACTACTAGAATTATCATGAGAATCATCGGTATCGCACATATCTTGCGATATAACAGCACCGGGACCAGCCTCCACGATGTAATTTATGCCCAGTGTAGGATCAGAGACCAAGGAAACATTTATCTTCCCGTAATATACAATGTTCGCCTGTGAAGTACACTAAAATTAACGTTAGCGTTATCATTTTTTAAGCAACATAAATATTTGACCACACACATTTCGATACAACTTGTTTAATGCATTTCAACAAAAAAAACCAATAAATTAAAAATGCAGCGGTAGGCAGACAAAAATGCAACAAATAAGTAACGGTAGAACTACGTTAACGTGAAATAAAGACAAAAGGAAAATAAGAAAACTAAGATACCTGTTCCAGTAAATCCTGAACAGTGCAATCTTCGTTCGGTATGTCGAACGTAATTAATCTCTTCTCGCCATTCGAGAACAATGCCAGCATTTTTGCGTTGTTTCCGTGTATCTGGCTCTGAACCTTCGTGGTACTCGGATCGTGTATCATACTTTGAAAATAAGCCACGCTCTCACATTGGTTGTTCGAATCCGTCTGCGGTGATTGATACGCAGGATTTTTGGGCGGCGGAGACTCCGGCGACTCGATTTCCATGGCATCTTTAGGAGGCGAAAGCGGTGACTGTGGAATATTTTGTTTTTGATAGTGCAACTGCGACTGGGAGGACGAGGACATCTGTTTATGCAATGAATTCTGCTGCTGGCTAGGACCCTTCAGAGTTCTCTGGTCATTTTTTGGGCCTTGTAGCTGTTTCAATCTTGTTTCCATTTTCTTATCTTGTTGCGGATTCGTGGACAAGATATTGGCAGCTGGAGGCTTTGCGTGGAGTGCGTTCGGAGATGTTTGGAAATACGGGGAGATCTGTGTCACATTCTGTCCGAAGGGACTACCAGTGGTTTTACTATTGCAAAACGAAGGCTGTGCCGACAACCTGACGTTGGACGCATTAGCTTTCTGTGGACTTCCGATGTTATTTGTTACGTTCACCCTATCTAGAGACGTTGCTTGTTGTTGTATGCTTCCCGTTGAGAATCTGCTTCGGTTTTGGTGCAACCTAAGCAAGTGCCTTTTTAAATACGTGCCGGGATTTAGTGGTAATAATTCGCAGGATCCGTGAAGAGGATTCTAAAAATAATACAGCAACTGTTACGCGCATGCAGCCACTGCAAAAGTTTCGATGTCATACGTACTGATTTCTAAAACAATTTGTATAATAGCTTGGTTGTATCAACGTACTTGGGGAGAAGGACTATTTTGATTATCTACTAAAGTGGCAGTCTCAGTTTTCTCTGACAATGATGCACCTTGTTTTGTAACAGCATTTAAAGTAATGCTATTCTCTTGCATCTTTATCGTTCGTATCAGTTCTTCAGCATTGTTACATCCTACCAGCGGCTTAGAACCTGAACAATATTAGAGAACAACGTAAGATTAAGTAAGAATGATATTTCTTATGTACCGTATCAATCTAAAAACTAATATTTATTACTAAATTTACCTTCGTTATCTACAATGTGGACAATATCACTCTCTACTGTATTAGCGTTCACTGCACTAGTCTTTAATACCTCTTGGGAAGGACTTGTTGACACATTCGTGTTTGATTTAATTAGAACTACGTTCTGTCTGAAAGTGAAAAGGTGCTAGTTAAAAAAAGATTAGAAAGATCATAAACTGTATGTATTTAAACTGATTCTACTTTCTAGAATTATTTATTATCAATATAATTATTATATTTTATCTACCACCAAGCAAAGTAATTCGAAGAATACTCTACTCTAATTAAGAATGAATTAATAATATAGCAATTCAAGTTAGTAGCACAATAGGCCAACATTAATTGATATAATCAAGTCCATAACTGAGAAGAAAAAAAGGGTGCACTGGTATGTGTTTATCAAAAATTTGATCAAAGTGTGATATATTGATTGTTGAATCAATATGATTTAAACAATGTATGAAGCGCGTTAAAATAACAATCAATGACATATTCAAATTTAATAAAATAACATTTTAAAGGAATCTGAAAATAAATGAAAGCTTAATTTAATTAGATGAAGAAATGTGACAAATGCTTCTACACGTAATTATACACGTTAAACCGAATTGAAAAACACAATGTTATTAATATATGATGTATGGTGTGTATATTGATATATTTTTCACCACTTGTGCAGTTATTTTGATGTTCATGTTCAACCTGTTCATCCTAATAAGGATCGACTCTTGTTTCCTTTTCTTAATGTTCGTTTTACGATTCGTTACAATAACATGGCAATAGTTAAGGGTCGTATTCCAGGTACATAATTGCACGATACGTTTGTTTATTTGTTGAACAATATACCCACATGTATAAACTGTTTTAAAATTCTTTAGATTATACTCAATGATTACTTAAATACATCATACAACATTTTTTTAATTGCTCTTTGAGGCACACATGTACAACATTTAGTTGACTACAAGTAGAAGACTACCTTAAGAAGTTATCTTATCATAGAATGTATCTTCGTAAAGTGTCTAAACATAAAATATGTTAAACTGAATGTAGGAATAATTGTCGAGTGTCATTTACTAATGAAGAGTTCTTTTGTACTTACTGTTACTTATTCACCTAAAGTAATATAAATCATGTAACTCAAAATCGAATACTTCTCTATTTTCTTGTAATTTAATTAATCTAATTTCAGATGCATTTCACTAAAATTATAACAATTTACTGCAACGAAATATACTTGATCAATTTACTATACGTACATGAAAATACGTGATAGTTTACTTCATAACATCAAATTGTTCACAATTTCAAAATCTAATACAAGAGAAACATATAACATATTACTGTACAAGTGTACAAATATTAACTTTATGTGCTACTTCCAAAAGTGGCACAACATACCGACATCCCCTTTTTCCTTTTAAAAATATCCATTATAGTTTCTACATAATTCTTTAATCCTTCATAGCAAAAAAGTATGCATGCGCGCAAATAAGTTACCCTTGTTCCAACTGCGTGACAGATATCTGACCCCCTAAATTGATTTGGTGCGAAAACAACGCTTGACTGCTGCTGTTTTGTGGTACTGTGGCAGTCGCGTACGTCAAAAATTGCTGAGAATTGTCACCACCGCCGTTATTCTCATCCTTGATAACTAATTGCACACTTTGTCCATCCGCGGAACAAACACCCTCTACCTCTTCTAGAGTTAATCTACCATTGACATTGGTAACTATGTTATAATACTGTGCCATAGTCTCGAAAGACTCTTGATGCGTCCAAATGCTCTTTCTTTCCCTTTCCTTTTTTTTCTTTTGCCAACAAATATACAGCGATAGACGTTATTGTTTTATTGAACGTTATATGGATACTACACTGGATTATCACACCGGTCCAGCAATATCATATCTGTTGAAGTCAGTGTGTCCGCGTAATGAAACCTATCAAAAGTAATTCTAGATTACTCGCGTTTTATCAATTTTATAGATGGAAAAGAAGTAGTTTATGTAGATAGCGACTACAAGGATGTCAGAATAGTGTATATTCTATCAACAATTCTTGTAAATATCAAACGACATGATTCAATATTAGACACCATATCGGAATTGTATGAAAATATTCCTAATAAATGTTATAATACTTGTAATATTCCTAATAAGCTTGAATTGGACACAGCAAGTATTCAATATAACTATAGAGTACTTTGTTCTAATGCAATAAGAACTAAACAATCAGAAATTAAATTCACTTGTTTCAGTATTTGTAACTTTTGTTTTCTGAATGAATAATTGTTGAGAAGTTTACAGAAAATTGTAAAGGAAAATTGTTTATATAAATTACTATTTCACTTGAGACAATAAATAATTCACACTCAATCATGTACGAATAAATCTTTGATTATATCTAATGTATGTCACATGTTCAAAATAAGTTGACATATCTTGAGTATTGAAACAAAATCTTATTAAACGCATACAAAGTGTAACAACGGTAAATTAGAAAAAGCACAAGTAGGTTTAAAAAAATTGAATTCTATTAAAGGGAAAAAGTTACACTTCTTAAGTAGTCCCCTAACTATATAAACCCATATACGTGTTTAAATTATATAAATATAAATGTAGAAATACATCTAATCCATACCAATTTAAACACGATATTTTTTTCTCTACAACACTTTACGAGTAATCAATACTAATGACATTTGTATAATATTTTGTGTACAACATGTGCTTCAAAGATTTTAGATATCAATAAAAAGACTATAGTTGTCCATTTTAGTAAATCTCATATATAGAAATCGTTCTACAAATCATAACAAAGTGCAATTTTATTTCTTCTTCAAAGAGACTTTCATTGCGTTGCATACATTAGCATATTTAAATGGCATAATTTTAATAACAGATGCACATTGAAGAATTTACGTATATTTGAAAAGCATGAATATGAATTCATTAAATTAATATTTTGTTCACACGTATTTTGTTTCTTTTTACAAAGTAAGAGATACGTTCCACAAGTATTTATGTATTACGTATTCTTAGATAAATAATAATAATTTGAAAATCTAAATGACATTAAAACGTACAAGATGTAAATCGTGTGTGAATGAATAAATAATAAAATGTAACTCTCATAGAGAATAACGAAAATGAACAATTGGTACTTTCCATATCATCCTTTTGCATTTGCAATTTAGTGCATAATGTATATAATAAGAATCATTACAAATGCAAGAAATAATAAAAAACAGAATGCAAGGAAAGAAACATAGCTACTTTACGAAAGATGAGATTAAGATAAAGATTTATCCTTAACAGATTGTCTTATTAATGACATTATTTTCAAAAAGTTAATAATACTATTAAAGAACTAATTACATAAAATATGAATTTCAAATTAGAGAGATTTATTAATTATACTTGAAAATTATAACCATTATGATTCAGAAATAGAATGATGTTAGATATGATGTATGAAATGTAGCATAATGTATGAATATACATATAATAAGAAACGTAAAAGATTGACCATTGTGATTAATATTAATGAAATTACTATTTGCGAATAAATTGTAACTATTGCAAACAATCATTGCAGACTGTGAAAAATATTTAAATCTTCGACATAACCCAACAATTAAAGAAAATTGAATGTGAAACTTTTATTCTTTGTTACATGATTGAATCTATAAAGTGAACGTAAAAGAAAAGAAGCGTGCGTTAAATTAATACATAAATTACCGCTAATTACAAAGTGATACTTATAATTTGACGATAAAACGTGTAATGTACGGAATGATGGTAGGTAGGAACCGTTTAAGAATTATGATCATAACCTTGTTTCGAGTTTTCAACCATTGCACGGGATGAAAAGTGTCATTGAACGATTGAAACACGTTTTTGCCACAGCATTATGCACTGTACAATCCTCGTAATCGTAACTTCGAAATGTGAAGGCGTGCAATTCGAGTAACCGATTGAATAATGGGAAACCGCAAGTAGCGGACACATTTAAGAATATCTTTTGCATTAAAATTGACAACCGTACAACTTACCGTTGGCCGTTTCCGCGTGTACAGGTAAGCACGCGGTCGCGTTTTAAATTCCACGAATATCCACGCGCTTCTTATGGACAATTATTTTGTTGTGCTACGTACGAGTAAATAACAACTCCGAATCGCCATTTTACGTTACCGTTTACACCCGTTTCTGTTGGCCGTATTCGTGGTGAGAGAGTCGCGAAACGAACCGAACCTCCGAACCTACGGACCCTACCATAAAGATCTACGCTTACGCCACTGCGTCATCGAAGAAACACCGACATCGGCTTCCGGCTCCGGTTTCTGGACGACGGTTTAAAGAGCGCGAGATTCGATATTCAGTTACACTTTTTACTCGCATCAAGTAATGAAGATATTCGACCTGAGTAGTACCTTCTCTATGATATTAATTATGAATCTACAATGCTTATGCTAATATTAGTTAGAAATACATAATAAGAATGCGGCACATTATAAAAAGTTGTAAAAGAATTTTCAATTACTGTTTTGTTCACGTTGAAAAAATTACGAGAATAGGGGATAGTTTAATAACCACTATCCTGCGCTCGCTGCTCTTTCATTTTATACCCCCTCGAGAACCTCCCACGTACGATGTGGGATATTGAGATTATGATTGGGATATACCACCGTTCAGGAGAAACAACGCATAGGGGCAATGGTTAATTGATTTTCTTGAATTCAAATAACTTTCTCTTAGTATAAGAATAATAATGACAACGTGTTCTTAAATATTAATCTTTACTCAAAAACCAAAGATACATTGTTTTATAATTTATGAATTATTCATCAGATTTGTTTTCAACTGTTAGTAAATATTAATTATAATATTCGCCTAATATTCAGTCATATACTCGTCATCTTCTCTGTATTTAATCGCAGTTGTTCTATGTTCACTACTACTTATATTGTCCCGCAATAAAGGAATTATACGATGTCCGCTTCGTTGTAGCATATAAGAACTAAATGGGAAAAAGTTTTCAACCGTAGTTGGTATAGACTTTTTAGTATTAAATAATGGGAGTTGATTCCGTGTATTGTTTTCAATTATGGTATAACAGTATGCCAATTGATATATGCGAGTGACCTCAGCGAAATTATGCACGATTTCCGGATGGCAAGACTTCAATGGATTTAACTTACAAGTGATGATTTTTGCTAAATCCAATTCTTGCAGATACGTCATATCTGAAAATGAAATAAAACGAAAATAATAAACATCTCTAGCTGGTATAACAAGGTTTTTCCTTAAGTCTGCTGACCAAAAAATTAATAACTAGCTTACATTTCTTGGAATCCGGATAATCCTTATGTCTTTCAGCGATCATAAGGAACAATGCTTGACAAATAGCGTAGAATACAGTATGCTCTTTATTTTCGTCTTGTATGTAATTTGAATGATCTTGCGCATTGATGTAATTATGTATCCATGTACACATTTTAAATTGTAGCGCTTCCACCAGTCTAATGAAAATGAAAGAAAGGCTCATTATTTTTTAACCAGACAATAATACATATATGAACTAACTAAATTAAACATTATTGTTGAAGATAATTACCCGGTAGTGATAAAAGTGGCTGTGACTGATAAATTAGCGATGTACGCGACGGACGACTGCCGTATAACGGAAGGGGCGTTAGGATTGGAGGTTTTACGCCAGAGCCAATCTACAAAAGCCTCCACAACAGCTGTTTTAAAACTACAAATATAGAACATAATATACTGGACGTATTGGCTCGCGTGAGTCGGTAATACTACCGTTTCGAATATTTTCAACGTATCGGTATAAAGACTTTTCAAGCACTCTATCTGCAAGACATTGTTCAGGAAACAAAAGTCGTGCATATATTTCAGAATCAGTTCCATACATACGTCCAATTTATTAGCTATTGGATGCATTTTATCTGATTCTGTTAGCGCACTAGTTTCCTCATTATCAAGAGCATTGTTCTCATTACCAGTTGTACTATCACATTCACTACTATCGTCCATTATATCGTCCTCTTCATTATCTACTTCTAAACGTGGTATGTTCACGTCTAATACCATTAACCTGCCGAAGCATAAATTATTATTATCATACCATTTGGAATGCTTCGTTGCTAGATGTATTATTCTGTTCCAAAAGAACGTTTTTGTCCTATTATTTAAAACAATACGTTACCTATTGATAATTAGGGACAGAATATCGGACCTCAACTGTGGAGCATAGTCTAATATCTGAATCAAGGCGTAAACATAAACTTGATGTGTGTGAGTCCCGTGAATGATATACGGGTATCTTGCTCTCACGGATTGCAGCAGAAGTTTGCTCGACCTAATGACATTTCATATATTAAGTTAGTAATTGTACTTTATTTCCTTATGCACATCAATGTGTATATGAGATCTTTACATTGGAACAACTTTTAAAATTTTTTGGAGGACATCGTGTATATGATTTAACCGTTGAATGTCTTCCGCGCTACATTCTCCGTTTTGCCACTTCGCATCATCGTCTTTATCTACGTAATATAAAGTTATTGGCATCAACTCAATAAATTAATAGAAGAATTGTTGAAAAAATCCGACTATAATTTTTCGAAACACACCTGGTTTAAATTGTTCAACTAAATTGTCTATCACGTTCTTCGCGTAATGAATTTGCATGCATATTAAATCCTCTAAGAACGCTTTGTAAGCAGACGTTACGTCCGATGGACGATTCATCCATTTCATTTGTAAAAGGGTTTCTATGAATACTTTATGTATAGGTCCAAGTAATGATATACACTGTCTTACATTTGATAAGAATTCAATTAAATCCTTGTCCTATAATGGGAAATATGGAATCAGAAATGGATATAATGTGAACCAATGATATTAAATGGTTTATGACCATCTATGAACTAATTAAAAAAAATTATATGATACTAAAATACAGATATTTTTTAAAAAGGTACACATGACAACGATAAACAGTGTTTTAGGTATACCTTTATAATAGAATCTCTTAAAATACATATCAATTCTTCATAATCCTTTGCTCCACTCCCAGCTTCAAAATTATAAATAATATTTCTTAAATCTTGAGGAAGTTTAAAGTATACTCTATTCGATTGTCTAAGCAGCTGTGATCTAACACCATTCTTTAGAATTGATGAAACGCTACTGACTCTTGATGACACGACAGACATCTGTTAAAAAAATGACAGTATTATGCACATATGTACTAACAGATACAGAATGACCCAAGCAAAATTTTACAATTTCTCCTTTTATAGTTAATTAGTGGAGAATTAGTTATTAGGTCTCTAGTATCATTTGATTAAAGGACGAAATATGTTTATTCAAATTCATTTGTTTCTAAAGACATAAGATTTTATATGAACAATCTTACCTACAGCTGTTTTGAAATGTCATTCTAACGTAGCAAGTTTTATAAAATTTTAATTTACATTAGGGAAGTCGAGAAAAGCTGTGTNTTAACAAAGATTTCAGTTTCTCGTACTTTAGAATTTATCTTCGCTCTTTCACTATGTAATTTCTAAATCGTTAACTTGACGTTAGTTAACTATACGGTGTAAACTAAAAACTTATCGTTTTTAATTTACCTTTTACAATAATTTACGTTTCGTAAATTTCAATTATCATCTCACTTATCTCTCATATAAAAGCTATAAATTTTTCGCTTTTTCTGTTAAACTATTTCGGATTTTTAACGCACGTTCACCGCATCTTCCCTCTCTTTAGATATTTTTACAGTACAAACGTGACGAACATTACCTAGCGCATCGTTTATTGCGATTTAATTTATTGTAAATACGTTTCTGCCCTTTCAATCTTTGCTCTTTTCGAACTCTTTCTCACATATTCTTTTCTTCCTATGGATGTTACGTCTCTTGTTTGATACAATATGTATAATAGTAATCTTTTGTAAAATGGAATGCAACGATATTGTTTCCACTTTTTCAAGAACAATGACAGTATGTATATCTGTTCATCCTCGGCGAATGAAGCAAGTGCCAAAAAGCATTAATTATAATGGAAAGGATCAAATCTCACGCTTTGTTCTTCCGATACGAATTACGTTCGATATTTTAATTCTATTATATCAAAGTATAGAGTACGCATATGTGCATGTAGACAAGAAAAGGATTGAGCCTAGGAAACAAGTTTTTGTGCTTATTCTATATTTTCCAACCCATTAACGTCTCTCTAATTTTTATATCAATACTGACAATTTTTCTATTTGTTGAACTCGATTGTCAGCGAATACGCTTTTTATTTTGCATTGAAATTCATTATCACTAGTAAAATTCTTGATAATGAACGTGAAATCTCTTGCAAGATCACGGTCGTTACTCAGAAATGATGTTTTCTGAGCAGTATGCGATGTATATAGGTACTTTATACTACGATATAACAAATTGTATCCGAATTAATCGATAGAAATTGATTGTATTTCATACCGAATGTCGAATATACATTATACAATTCTTTGGAACAGCAGATCTGGATCCCAGGACACGAAATTTATCGAGTCAGGTTTCCCCTAAACAATATAACATATTTGCATGTTTATTAGTAATAAGAGTTTATATAGTTAGGAGAATTTTTTTATAATTTAAATTACTATAAAATATCCAATAATGGAAGGTATAATAGTTCACAGTAATATTAAAAATGACAAATCATCTACAGAAGTTTAATTTTCATTACGCAATATTGATTGCGAATATTAGGGAAAAGTGGACTCGATATATTTTAGGATCCAAATATTTTACACGGTAAATATGGTATGATATAGCCATGGCGTAATTCGCAAATATTTGCAGTTCATACGTTATGCATACATTTATTTATTTATAGTGTTTATCGTACAAGCAGTCGTAAGAATTTATTTCTGACGTATTTTATGCAAAAGCGTTTCTCTTTTATCACTTAATCTCTTTTAAATAATCGTATATACTATCATAGTTAACGGGTGTGTGTGTGTATGGCATACAATAATAATATCTCCAAGATGCTATGCATATATTTGTTTTATGCAACATTTCTTGCGATACTTAAAAAGTAAAACATTTTCAGATCACTTAATATACCAATCAAGTAATGATAATTACAGTAATGTAAATCAACGATCGTTTATTTAGTGTTGAACCATGGCTAGAGGCGTTCAGTCAAGGTGTGCTGGCTGCGTAATATTTATTTCGCTATTCATTTTATATTATATGTATTTATGTTCATTATTTATATTTGTATTTATATCTCCATATTTATATCCGTATTTATACTCTTTATATGTATACTTGTGTGTCTCCTCCACGATTAACAAAACTGAACACGTAGTGAATCTGTCTTTTTAAAACGAAAAGCTATAAGCACCTGTTCAGTTATGTTCATTATTATGTACGTGTTTACGTTTATAATACTCGTACCAATGTACATACTCATACATATGATGTAACATGCATATACGTATGTACATATGCGTATACACATATTTTTCCTTTTATCTTAGACTTGGCATAATGACTAGATAAGTTTTCGGCCACCCAATATAAACAATGTGTTTGTTCCCATACATATATATATTTTATACGCTACTTCTTTTTTCGTTCGCCCAAATTTTATCAATTAACGGAGATCGATATTTCCTTGCTAAAACTGTATATTATTATAACTTATAAGCTTATAACTCAATTTAAATTCAAAAACAAAGAAAATTCTTTCCTGAAATACAAATTTTCATTACGCAATATTGATTGCGAATATTAGGGAAAAGTGGACTCGATATATTTTAGGATCCAAATATTTTACACGGTAAATATGGTATGATATAGCCATGGCGTAATTCGCAAATATTTGCAGTTCATACGTTATGCATACATTTATTTATTTATAGTGTTTATCGTACAAGCAGTCGTAAGAATTTATTTCTGACGTATTTTATGCAAAAGCGTTTCTCTTTTATCACTTAATCTCTTTTAAATAATCGTATATACTATCATAGTTAACGGGTGTGTGTGTGTATGGCATACAATAATAATATCTCCAAGATGCTATGCATATATTTGTTTTATGCAACATTTCTTGCGATACTTAAAAAGTAAAACATTTTCAGATCACTTAATATACCAATCAAGTAATGATAATTACAGTAATGTAAATCAACGATCGTTTATTTAGTGTTGAACCATGGCTAGAGGCGTTCAGTCAAGGTGTGCTGGCTGCGTAATATTTATTTCGCTATTCATTTTATATTATATGTATTTATGTTCATTATTTATATTTGTATTTATATCTCCATATTTATATCCGTATTTATACTCTTTATATGTATACTTGTGTGTCTCCTCCACGATTAACAAAACTGAACACGTAGTGAATCTGTCTTTTTAAAACGAAAAGCTATAAGCACCTGTTCAGTTATGTTCATTATTATGTACGTGTTTACGTTTATAATACTCGTACCAATGTACATACTCATACATATGATGTAACATGCATATACGTATGTACATATGCGTATACACATATTTTTCCTTTTATCTTAGACTTGGCATAATGACTAGATAAGTTTTCGGCCACCCAATATAAACAATGTGTTTGTTCCCATACATATATATATTTTATACGCTACTTCTTTTATATGTCAGCATAGCACGTGAGATAATTAATAATTAGTAAACGGTAATTATTAATTAATCATAAGTGTAAAACAATAGTTGACGAATAAATGATATCGATAATGAATGAATGATGATTGCACATAATAAAGATTATCCGCACTTAGTGCGGATAAAACAATTTTCGAAAATATTAAAGAAGCGAATAGTAAAATGTAATAAAATAATTTACAAGTGCGTTGTTTTGTAACTTGATTAGTTACCTCGACTTAATCAATTATTTTGGAACTTAATCAACTAATAACATATGCATTTTGAAACCTGTTCACAATTTAAATAATAGTTCCAAGTTCTCCTGTTACTTTACAAAAGAAAATAATAATACACGCACTCGCATTCTGTAAATATACAATCAACGCATATTAATTATAATTTAATAACTCAAAACTAAAGCATATTGTTTATGGAATATCCTATGTGTTTCATTATTACGCATTATTTATTAACCTTTCTATGCGGATTATAGGAATTCAGTTTTTGTACATTCCATTATGCAATTACATACTTATTATAATTAATTAATTAAAAGCGAGTTCTCCGTTTTGCAATTCACTTCAGGGAGAATATTGTTTCTTTCTTATTGTTAATTGTGGGCACACTTACAGTGATATATATGTATTAATTAATACTGAATGTTAAATAAAATATACATTGTCTTTTTTTAATCATGGTACACGAAAATATTAATAACGTTGAGTAGAAAATTAAGAAATACATTTAAAAAAGAAAATAATTTAGGACAAGTAATGTAACAAATGAAAACTGTTACAGATATTAATTATAATCTCATTACGATAAATAATATTCATAATAGTTTTCAGTTCCTACACTATTCATTTTGTCGGCAAATAAAATAGATACCAGTATATGATTAAGGCCCTCAACAGAAACATATTCCCTGTCTTGCATATGCATGTATTTAAATATACAGAGTTCATCAGCTCCGCTCTAAACTATTCATAGAGAGCTTTTCTTCATCTTTTCTTTTTATTTCATTTGTGCTATTTATAAATTGTGTGCACTCTTGTTTTTGCGTATTCCGACTTTTATCACTATATATTACTTGCCGTCGGGACGCTGGCGCGTCCCTTGATCGCGTGGAATGCGATTCTCGATGCTGAATTCAATTTGATGAAAATTAATACATCTTCATGTGTGTTCTTAGTATACTCGCAAGTTGAATTCAAACAGACTTGGGACTTGAATGACACAAAAACCGTTCAAGTAATTTACATTTTCCAGTACAGATTTGAATTCCTGAACCAGTTTAACTATAAACTGAAATTAAATTGGACTAACTTTGCTCGAACGCCTACTTTGGAGTACGATCAAGAGTTTCCAATTTACATTCAATTTTGTATGAAAGTAAACACGTGTACTTCCAAATTTGAACCATCAAGTGCCTTTCCTTCGTTTAATTTTCACTTACTTATTTATTTCGCAAAAATAACATACACACATATTTATCCATGTATTATCCTCTTGACAAATAATTTGCACAGAAAGTACGTATAATGTTTTTATGAAAAAGACGACAGCACATGAAGTGAAATAAAAAATAAAAAAAGATATGCAGATATTTAAAGAAAAAAAAATATGTATATGTAAATGTTATACAAAGAGTTTTGTCATTCGCTTTATTCGTTTTTTTTACTTCAAAAGTTGTTCCGCTTTAGATACTGTACGTGATTTGGTTAACAATAATTATATTTTAATTATATTTTTAAAGCAAATTTTTCAGTAAAATATATTATTACTATTATTCGTCTCGTTATGCGTGTGTTTTGCGTAAATAAATTCTACGACATATAAAATTCGACCAAAAACGGATTGGCAACGAATTTGATCACGAAAAAAAGGACATATAAAAAAATTTCATCACTTAACGTTAATTTTAAATTACTTAATCAGACAAATACTATTATATTCTTCATTAGTTTTATCACACAGAAAACAGACATGGAGAATCCCATTCATAAATAAAACGTTTATGTGTGTATATATATATATATTTCTGGCTTTTATGTAAATATTTAATATATTATATCTTATCGCGAGTCGAGTTTCTTTATTGTTGCTAAGCAGGAGCCAGTGAGAATATATTATTATCATTATCATTACCAATATTTATATATATAATTCCACGAGAATCGAGAAAACACAAAGCCGAGATTTGCGTTCGAGTTAATTCTGTACAGAGAAAGGTAGATAAGAGATTAGAGGACAGTGAATTAATTAAATAATGGATGGCGGATGTATTGTCTGTTCACTACGCAATTCAATCAATCAGCCAGGCAACCGAACGCTGTTTATTTTTTCTTATTTCTCGCGTATTCTGTTTTTAGTTTTTTTATATGTACACTGGAGACTCCTGGCCAGTTAGTAGCCTGAACATTGACGTGGGCATCGTTTTCATTAGTATCTGGAACAGAAAAGAAATTGCATGAATACTTGAATGAAGTTTATCTCACTTATAGATCCACTAAATTGTATACAATCTGTAGGTCCTCTGAACAGCGAAAATAATTAATTTTACGTACCTCGCCGACAGACGTAGCTAGGAGGTTGACGATCTTCTCGTGGGGCACCGCGACCACGCTTTGGTTGTTGATTTCTATGATTCTATGACCGACTCGAACGCCGCCTCTTTCCGCGATCCCACCGCGTAATAGACTGCATATGACACCGTTCTGTACACTAAACCCCAACTGATACTTGGTATCGGGTCGTTTTATTTTGACCTCGACCACTGGGGCGCACGGCACCACCGTCAATTTCACCACAGTCTGATTTTTCGAGTTTTTTATATAAGTCTGACAGGTGGATAGCGGCAAACCGACCAACGACACCCCGTTTATAGCTATTATTTGATCGCCGATGTTCAACTGTCCGCAACGCGCCGCGGCACCGGCCGGTGCCAGATTTGCGATCACTACAGTCGGTAGCATCGAGCCCCATCCGGATTCGACGATCACTACACCGAGAATCTCACCCTTCGCTTTCGGCACCACCACCTGCAACCAATATAATTAAACGACACAATGCAATCTCTCTTCATTGATTGGCAAAAAAAGAAATGTGTTTAGCATTAAAAAGGAGGCATCAATCACCTCTTTCTGCATTTCCTTCTTGGCAAACATTTGCAACTCGTCGCCAAATATCTCCTGAGAGTTGAGAACCTCTTGATAGTCCATCTCCTTGACAAAACTATGATCTTCAATACCGTTCGCCTTTAGAAACTCCATATACGCTACTTGAAACGCCTGACCGATGCTCTGCGCGATGAATCTCGCCTCTTCGCTCTCAAACACATGACAAATCATCTTCGGGGTACGATTGATCTTTGGCGCTTCCTCCATCTCGTGCGGTACGAAACGTCTCCGGGCCATCAACACCACGACGTCGCCGATGTCAGCGATATAGGAAATTGTTCTCAACGCGTGGTCCATCATTATCTCCTTTAGATCGGTGTTCAGGACCATTATCTTCTCCGTGGATATGAACAGATCCACTTCGGTGCTCGGTTGTGTCTCTCCGTCCGGTGCCTAACATGAACATAAATTTAGCATTGCATATCTTCTTATGCAATATCAACGTTCAATATTCCTGTTTAATATATTTATATAAGACATTAATAGTGAATCTTTATCACATATCGATATTCAATATCAATGTACAAAACAAGTAGCGAACGTATCTATTCAATATTAACATTGCCCATTAATATTGAATACTCCATTAGCTTCTTCAGCAGAAGTAAGCGACATTAATATCGTGTGTTTTTCATAAAATATAGTCATAACGAGCCTAGTTTAATCCTATTCATAGAAAATACATGGACTGCATGTACAATATGTTATGTTAGTAAGTTATTGTAAGAGTATACATACCAACGCCTATTATGAAGGGAAGCAGCATGTAAGATAAAATACAGAAAGCGATTAGCATCTTTTAAATTTCCGTATGCACACATTATTAAAATAATAATTAACAACAATTTCGTTATATAATAAATATGCAATTGTTCATGAATGTAGTGAAAAAAAGAATTGGATTGTATTTATGTTCGTTATTCAAAGATTTCGAATGCGAAAGACTTCCCTAAACCTGAGAGTTTATTATAATAGTAATTACCTGAAAAACATTAACCATTGAAAAATGCGATTCATTCAAAGGTAATTACTATATTACGGATTTTGTTACATTTACAGAACATTTTTGATAGTATAGTTGTCACTTATTAAGAATAGATGAATTCATCCTTCTTCATATTATAATTACTGATCGACCTTATAAGTCCTGAAGATGAATAATTCTGGAACTTTTAGTTCGATAAGTACACATTATAGAAGTAAGAGCAAAAGAGTACAAAAAGTTCGAATACACAACGCTTTTTCAATTCGGGACTTATAATGGTCAACGATTCTAAAGATAAAATAATTACTACTTCTTCTAATTATAAGAATAATGCAATACGTGCTGAGGTGACATAAAACGTGCGGCATTAAGAAATATGTACAATAGTAAATAAATTAAATATATGAGAATATTATAAATTAATATCGACATTTGGTAACATCTCATTGGAAAATGTAACGTGATTGGGAAGATAATTATTAACAATAATTATCGGTTATAAAACGGAATAGAAAAAATTACTTAAAACTGTTAACAATAAATCCTTTTTTGCTTTTTGTAAAATCGTATAACATTGTTATTTGTATTACAATATTTCAAGATTAGAAGGAGTAAAATACTTCTGATCAATCGCTTTTTAATGTCTCCATTAAGTGAGGTGACTTTATCCCATTTTAAGAATTTGAAAATAAATTGCATCTCTTCTTCGGATGTACATTAAGTTTTATAAGAAAGTTGAGGGCTGTGTCAATGCTCTCGTTCGTCATTACACATAGTGTATTTACAATAGGGATGTGAAAGCGTTCGAATAAGTCGAAACGAGTATTTAAAAATAGTCTGGTAGCAAATGGTGTTGAGACGAAAGAGGAGGAAGAAAAGTTTGAAGAAACGTAACGGCGACTACTTTCATAGAAGATAGGATAGATGTATTGCGTGTTAACAATAGTGATTAGTATCCTATATTCGATATTTATATTAATATCGAACTTAATTTTGAATATTGTACATGTAATATTCATAGAACGCTAATATTAAATTGATCATTTGTTTCAATTTAAATGTTCACGAGTGAAACAGATTGTTTTTATTAATGTTTTACTTTAACCCTCTATAACGTAATTTAAATTGAAAATAACATATCTACATTGTACGTGGTTGCCATATCACTAAACGCATATCAAACAACATGTTAACAGCAATCATTTCCTGTTTCCGAACTAAAATAGAAAGACAAATGAAAACGGAACGAATTATAATTTTCATCTCATAAATGAAAACAAAATTTATGTTACAGAGGGCCAAATCAATTGGTAATGCTAATTGAAGAGGTTCGAGAAAACGTAACGACTACTTTCACAGAAGAGACAGAGGAGGACAGGTGTACGAGTAAGTATAACAGTAATAATAACGTTTAATATATCTAAAGAAGGGTTTTGGAGGGCGGACCTTGATCTTAGTCACAGCCTCCCGCACTATGTGGTTGTTAAGGCGCTTACGTCTCCCTTCCTCTTCAACTTCGACCGATCCGAGAAAGTGGAGCCTGAATACGGCCGAGGAGGACTCCGTGGGCCCGATCGGGGTCAGTTTCGTATCGTGGTGACCCATCGGGGCCGTGGTCGAGTCCACGGGGTTACGGAGCTGTTGCTCGGGTTGCTTGGCTATCACCCCGGCATTCCCGTTTGGGGTTGAACAACGGGCCCCCATAAGCTCTTCGCTAGAGTCGCACTCGTCCTCCTCGAGGCTCCCTTGCGAGCCGAGGTCGTAGCTTAACAGGGCCGTGGACACTGGCCCTTCCTCCTCCTCCTCCTCCTCCTTCCGTACGAGACGCGACAAACAAACAAAAACGGTGTGTTGTTGCTTTTTTCTTTCTTTCTTTTTTTTTTGTTTTTGGTTTCTTGCTACATGTAGTTTTGCACATCTTTTACCACGCACCACCAACAAACCACCAGGCCTTTTTCTCTCTATTGTTTCGTTAATAAGTACATCAAGGTAGGCATCATAGAGGATTCTTACAGAGGCGAAGCCAGGTTGCCACCGTGTCGTAATGTAAAACCCGGGATATCCATACAATCCGGAGATTTCAATAAGAGAAGATGCCGTGGACGAAAAAGTAAACAAAAAAGTATGAGCGTAAGCTCAATGTAGCATAAGCGGACTGTAGAATATTTCCATTATATAAACCATAGAGAATTTTTAAATGTGAACAAATTTCTTTTTTTAATCAAAAAGTCAGTATTTGCATTAAAATTCAAAACTTCTTGGTAACAATCAGAAGAGTGGCAACGCTGCCTAACAAAGGGATAAGTGTGTAAGGAAACTTCCACATAATAGAAAAAAACATCAAGTGTTTAACATTCATTTTTATAAATATATATACAGAGTGACTCGCTTTGATTGAATACCTGAATTATTACAAAAATTATCAGTCTAAATATCAGTCACGGCTTTTTTACTATCGACAGCTACGAACAAATTGTATAAATGCCGTCAATAGATTTGTATGATACTTTATTCAATTTAAGCGAGCATTTCCGTACAATACTTTTGAAATAATTAAATAAAACAAGTATATATATAATTTTTCATAGAATTTTATCTATCGAGCATAAAATAAAGAGATCAATGTGGTTCAATACCATATTCTTCCGACGAAATTTAAAAAACTTATTGATGCAAGTTTTTATTGTTAACTAATTGGAAATCGCATAATTCGTTCGATATATTTAACAGTTTTCTAGTAGGTATTACATTCCTTTCGTGACTCAAATAACTATGTTATTTGGCATGTAAGAATTTTTCTTATCTTCGCATATTATGCTACGAAAGTTTCATAATCAATTTTGTAGATATTAGATATCGCCAGTGGAGTATATTTCTTTTTTTGTAATCGGATTATTCCATTACATTTTAATTCACGTTCAACCGAACAGATTTCATCCTACAAAAAAGAGTAAACACTGCATGTATTTAAATACACAGCGTTCGATGCGATATCCCATTAAAAAAATTTTCGATTCTCCTCTACGTCTCTATCTGAAACCATTGCTACCATACTATGTATGTATTTCTTTAAACCCTGTGATTTTTACAAGCAGTATATCCTTTTATTACTTGAAATAAAAAAGATATTTCAGGTGGACAAGAGTAATGTGACCGGACTTATTTTTCTTTCCTCATTTTGTAAAAAAAAACTCTCAGGTTTAACCGAAGCATCTTATTGTGTTTTTTCAGTGAAAACATATTATACGGAGTATAAGAAAAGTTGATGTTATCTAAAAGATGCATACAAACCATATTATATTGTATGTACATCTTTTGTGATATTCTTGGATTATTGCATTGTGCAATAAACAAATTTGTATATATAATTGTACATAGTTCATTGTACATATTGTACGTTAAGTGTTTATATATATACATATGTACACACACACACACAAATATTAATATACATAGGAAATCGTGAAATTATAGTGATTTGGTATATTTGCAAATCCCAAATAGGATGATTTATTTTAATTCATTTGTTTTACAAAAGCGCCCATAAATCGAACGTAGCTTTTCAAATATTAGTATTTATTCATTAAATATATCATCCTATATAATCTAAAAATGTATCATGCATTTTCTAAGTAAGTAGTGTTAAGACTGGGTAACAAGTGTGTAAGCGAAGTGTACATGCTACCTTTATTTCGCACTAGAAATTGTTTAAAATAAGATCAACCCACTACTGTTGTGCGAGAATTACAAAATATAATCGTGATTGACTACAATATCAGTTCTGCATGCGGAGATTAAAATTATATGAAGAAAATGCTCATTAAAGTGCTTCTTAGGCACAGTTCCAAAGAAACGAAAAAGAAAAAGACGAAGAAGAAAATGACAATAGGCGTACCTTTATCCTAGACACAGCTTCCTCGGCTTGGCACATCCTCGTTGACTTCGTCGGTTCGCCCTCGCAGACTAGCTGGGTGGAACCGAGGTATCTCGCTCGGAACAGTACACCCTCGATCAGCACTGACGAGTCGTCAAGAAGAGCTGAAAGGTCAACGTAAACCCGCCACTTAGAATTACAATGATCACTAGTATCGTCATTTTTCAAGCTATGGAACGTGGTCAAGTGGTGACTGAATGGTACTTGAAGTAATCTAACCGAGGGAACTGTTACAAATTCGGAACTTGTTGTTACTTCGGAGTTCAACGAATTGTCTTTTAACGTGAAATCCATATCCATGTTTCACACCTTATTAATACCACTTTTTAATTAAGAAAATAATCATTAATATGATTTATTTTTTCTTTCTTATTTTCATATATAATTTCTTATTTAATATATTGATTAGTTTGTGGAATTAATATATGTACACAAATTTAGTATGTGATGTACATATTATTGTCTGGTTATCAGAGATCATCGAAAGAATACTGATCAGAATGTTTAGAGCGCACTCGTGCACCATTTGTAATTGTATAGATAGAGTCAAGGTTCTTATCAATTATCTTCAGTTGTAGGCAGACAAGTAATGGAGATACATATCACACGAAAATTCAGTTGCATAACATTCCATTGTATTAACTAGATAAATGTTTTCCAAAGCAATGCAATTCACGTTCATATAAAGTAAAAAGAAGTTGGCAACTTTTGTGAAATAAAAAAATTGTAATTCTTTTTCTGATATCACTTATTATGAAGTTGACAAGCAATGTAGTTAAGAATCTAATAGTACCTACCGAGTAAATCCAACAGGAGCGCAGCAAATGAAATCATTTTTACATAGTGATTAGTATACATTTAAGGAAGCAATTAACAATGATTTTATACTTGTGTCGTTATTAATTATGTTATTAATAATGAAAATCTTAAGAAGCTTCCGATTATATTACACATAGGTAAAGGATAAAAAATACAGAATATAAAAAATTAGTAGTTACCTNATTTATTTATTTTCTAAACTAGCAGGCAAACTTTTTTCAAATGTGAAATTATAATAAAGTTGTACAATATACAATGTATGTATAAAAGAATTGAAGTTGTTTAAGCTAATGGGATAGAACAGATGTTGAAGCAGGGAAGAAAAGGGGAAGCATGTTGTTAAGCAGTGTAATTAGTATCGTAACAATTGCAGTAATAGAGGAGTAAACATATTCAATATTAACACTGAATGGGAATATTCAATACTAATATCGTGTATTAAATCATGAAGTTCGTACTCCAAAGTCGAAGTTTAACTAACTTCAACTCTGCTGTGTTGTACTATAATAGAACATGAATTTACTAAAATGACGGAATCAAGAGATAAACGAGGAAGCAGATGAAGAAGAAGAAGGAACTATCTAAGACTGATATGCAATGCAGCTATGTAACACATTCGAGTCCGGCATATATATATATATACATTGACAAACTTTTTTACTCAGTTTTAGTAATAATGTTATGATGTCTGATCAATAATTTAACTTATATTTAATTAATAAATTAGTTGAAGGGTGAGGTTTGGATCACCGGTCTCGAATGCGATAAGCAGAAAAGCTACGTATGTAAAGTTTTGGTATGCCAGTCGAATTCAGAAGGGCACCTTTTTCACCTTGTTGCCAGACTCCTTCAGACTCTGCGGGGACGAGGGGGAGTTTTTGGCCGGGGTCTTCTGCGGGCTGGCGACCGCGGAAGGTTTCGTGGGGGTGGTGATCGCGTCGCAATCGGCTGACACGACAGGCGGTTGCATCACGGACACCACCGGGGGCGGTGATATGGACGCGGACGCGGATGCGGAGGCGGAAGCGGAAGCGGAGACGCAGGAGGCGGAAGTCGAGGCCAAGGGCAAAGGCGGCGGTTCCGCGGGCGACAACGAGCTCTCTACCGGGACGACGCTCAGGCTTTTCGGGGGCGTTTGCTTTGGGGTGGACAGTTTACCGCTCATCGGCGGCAACATTGTCCTAGTCTTAGGCTTCCTCCACCCCTATTCAACACCAATTAGTAATTAATTATGTGTTAGTTGTGTGTTAACCCTTGGTGTCTAGCCCCAACCCGAATCATACATGCAAGACATTACGCATATTTTTATTTACTTTTTTTATTGTCTTATTTTCTCATCGATTTATTTATATTACTTTTTATTGCACCATTTATCTTGTTATGTCATTTATTTTAATTCTTCTCTTATTCATTAGTCGTTTTTCGTTTCTCTTAAGAGAAGACGGTTCAGGATTAAATAACCTTCTGAATGGTGAAGGTTTGAGGCGTAGAATCTAATTTTCGTTATTACTTAAAATCCTACCTTATCGTCGTAAAAACCCTGGTCGTCTGTTCGCTGTTGTCCCAGAAGACGATCTGTCTCAAGATCGGTGTCGGCCTCTTCGTCGTCTGGGCCATCCTCGATCTCGACATCCGCGTCATCGCCAGGTCGACGGATCATTTCTGACTCGTCGCTATTGTTCTCAACGCAAATTCTCCGCCTGCCATCCGATAAACTACACTTTAGTTAGATGTTCTTAATGAGGAACAATTGCTTTCAAGGCATAAATGTAAGGATCATTAAAAAACGTGAAAACGTCTGGAACTAGAATGATTTTATGTCTAAGAAACAAGGAAAAGATGATATACCTTGGTATCCAAATCGGACTGACGTTGGGCTCGGGTGGTTCCTCCGCCGTAGACTTCACCGGCAATGTTTTAGTCCTCTGCAGAGCCATTCTGATATCCTTAATAGCAGCTTCCACTTCTCCCCCAATTTCTAAATTCACATTTTGCCTGGCTTGAGGCGCCGGTGGAGGCGGTGTACCCAGAGGATCCAGACTATCTAATTGTAGCTCGTTCGTATCATACGAGTTCTCTTTTTTCGAAACGAACAGATCCGGCGACGAAGACTTTAGCGAATGCAATATATCCTTGCTAACTGTCAGATTGGAAACGTCCTTTCCCACGGTATCCGTTTCCGTAGGATGATTATCATTAACGCGACTACGTTGAATAATCTCTATCTCGATTTCGTTAATCTGTCGCTTCATCAACATTACGGTAGGATTATTATTATCCGTGTCACTCGCATGTCCACTGGACAAACCGTCCTCGAGGACGGGCATGCTGGTGTATATTCTTAACGAGTCAGAATTGTTCCCCAGATCGCCTACCGAGCCGAGGAGACCACTAGCCGGTATCAGTTCATTGTCCATCATCATCAATGAGACTTCGCTGTCGAGGTCGCCGCAATTGCTATCGCAATCGGTCGTCTCCGGACTCAAGGTGAAATTTCGCGAGTGACCAACCTGGAGACCAACCTCCGTCTCACCTAGATCCTCGCTGCTACCAGTATCAACAGAGAGGTCCAGAAAGTTGTTTTCGAGCTCGCTCGTCTAGAGACATCAAGGGAACGTGCTTGTTACTAAATAGACTGTATGCAGGATTCTCTTATCAACTTACATTTTGCGGATATTCCATTCTTTGTTTCTTAGGAGATTCATGAACAAGGACTTCTTCCGTTGTTGGTGGACCACTAGCTAGTCGTTGACCGACGTAAGCGCTTCCACCCTGTCTTCTTAATTCGTAATCAAGGTCCTTAAAAAATAAAATATAAACATTTTTACTATAGAGTGGATAACAGTGTTCGACAATATCATTCTAATATTACTGCGCTCTCGTACTTGAAATGGAAAAGAATCGACGCTGTTCTCTTTCTCCTTGGTCGGAGGCGGACACTTGAAAAACTCCTCGAGCACCTTTCGCGTTTCCGAAAATTCGTACAGATAATCGAACGTGCTACCGCCGGAGGATACGAGATTGCTTATGTTGTCAGTAGTCGGAACGGTCGAACTCGGTTTCAGAGAATCGTCTTCTTCCTCTTCCTCTTCGTCCTCGATCTTCGGCGACGGAGGAGACACGTCCACAGTTTGATCATCGGTGTAATTCATATTCGTTTCTACCACAGCCTTTTCCACGATGATTTCTGCCGAAGTGTCTTCCTTCTAAAGAACAAACATTTAAAATTGTATAAAAATTTAGTATCCAGATAATTTCGCAATTACATTGTTTTATCGGTCGTTTTTCTAACGGTAAGATCGCACGTACTTCATTGTGACTCGGTGTAGTCGGTAACACTCTTTGTGGGAAACCGGGCCTCGGTGTCATGTAAACAGATGGCGACGAAAGAAGACAAGGGAGTTGAGTTTCGCGTACCCCGTACCGTCTTGGACTCTCCGAGTATTGCGCGATCGGCAATTCGCCGATCACTCTTGTCACCTTGTGATTCCGTTCCGAAGAGGGCGAGTCTATCTCGCAATCGCTCGCTGGGGTGATCACCTTAAAAAAGTCCGAGGTGTTACGATGATATGTCGTCGTGGGACTCGGAGTGCTACCGATGCTAGAACTGAGCGGTTCCGGTGGCACGCGACCTCTTTGCGAATCCTCGTTGGTCTCGAGATTCATGTTACTCGCAGCGATCTGATTGTTCGAAATGGTGTTGTTCGAGGTCAGATCCAATCGCAGATTCTGCCAGTTGTCGTCGATGTCGTCGAAGACGACAACTTCCCCATCGCTGACGATTGCCATGCTCCTAGCCGGCGTCGTGTGATTCGACTGGTAACACTGGTCGGTGTAATCTATACAGCCCTTTGACAATCCATAATCGAGATCCACGTTGGTGGTATTGGTGGTAGTTGCATTATTTTTTGACACACCATAGTCTACATTATTGCTATTCAGTATTGAATCATAATTAATGATGCGATTGCTGCTATGATTGCTCTTCGGTGAATCATAATCTAGAATTGATTTCATTGGGTTGTGCCGTACTGAGTGAATCTCTGATGAGAACACAGTCTCTGTCACCTCTCTGTTTGAGCGCTGTTTTCTCGCATCGCCGCATCTAAAACAATTGAGAATAACGATACGTTTAATAATTAGATGTTAAACATAAAATATATCATTTAAAAAAAAAATTAGTGACTTGTAGATATAATCAAGTTACCTGCTCCTTAATTCCCATATAGTCTGAGTATTTGGTGATTTGTTGTTCCTCTTGACCGACAATTTGTTGTCTGTTTGCACATCTTCATTATTTATTGAATTGGACGCTGCGAGGAAACGCGATTTTCTCGCTGCCACTTTACCCCGACTTTGTGAAAATACTTCCCGACCACCGGCGATCTCTATTATTCTGTAACAGAATAATTATCCGACTATAAAATGAAGATTTCAAATAGCTAACAGTAACAAACTTACATAATGTACACAAAATATGTGTAAACAGGGTATTATAAGTTTTTGTTATCGAAGGAGTAATCATTACCTACGCTCTATTACGTATAGTATTCAAAAAATGGCTTCCGTTGCGATAAACAATTCTTGTTCTATACGTTCATCATTAAATCACCTCACAGAAACTAAATTCAGAACCTAATATCATTGCAACCTAACCTAGCTATTTGATTCCTATGTGTCAATGCGTGTGATATGTGACATACATGTATACATGTGTCATACATATTGATATACTTATCGACTAACACTTCGACTGTCACATTTATCGACTGTTTGAACATGTCAGTGCAACGTTTACGTGAATTTCTTATCAGTAAAAAAAAAAGACGAATTCTGTGTCAAAGAATTAGAAACATATTCACAAATCATTCTTATGTCTTGGCGTATCAAAATGAAAAACTGAAAACATTTATAATAAAGCTTAAAATATATGAAAAAATATTAATTTTTATTTTTAAAGATTCTTGCCTCGAGTCTCTTAATTTGTAACTGCGATCACCCTTGGCGGATGTCAGGATGTACACGGGGCTCTCTTCGGGGCCGCTATCGTCTTGTTGCGAGTGACTCTGATGGTCACTGCCCGCAAGGCTGCCGTACTGTTGCGCGTCCTCGCTGCGCCCGGAGGCGGACGAGGAACTCGAGGACAGAGGCTTCGCGTTTAGGGTGCCGAGAGAACTGAACGTTCCCAGCGGACCGCCGACGCCGCCGGTGCTACTGCTGACATTAACAGGTAGCTGACTCTCGCCTGGGAAACCGGATACCATGCTCGACGTCCTGAGGGATGCAGAACAACTTAAAATTATTATTTACGTTCATTTACATGATTATTTAAAGCACGCGTCATGTATCCGAACGAATTGTGATAGTATTAATGTATATATTTGATTTTTAACTTTTTAGTATTAATTGTAATCTTATGATTATGTTTGTACCTATCGGAGATGTCACGCTCGAGGTCGATCATGTCTTCCTGTATCGGTCGCGATTGCTTGAGGTGCGCTGTGTTATTATTATGGTTATTATTGGCGATATTGTTGTTGATATTGTTTGTGGCGATTGCGAGGGTAGTGTTCGTGAGAGTGTTCGCGGGTGTGCTCGTGAGGCTGGTGGTAACAGCGACAGCAGCAGAGGCGGCCTCCCTTTGGCAGATGCTTTCATGCGGGGGCTGACTGATCTGCGTGGATGATGCTGCTGCCCCCGAACTCGGGGGTGGGCCACCCCTAGGCCGACATTTCGGAAAAAGTCGGTTTAAATCTGCGTTCTCCAAGATCAGGCTTGTCATCGCCAGGCCACGTTCATTTCCTTTAATACTTTGTCCATTCTGAAAGCACATCACAATCATATTAGTAATATACGAGATAAAAAGATTAATAATAAAATTGATATTTGAATTAAAAGGCCTTAGTAAAAGATTTTTCGTCAAAATTCATTTACATATAATATGTATTAGTACTACTACTTTTACTACTACTTTCTTAAGAGAGGAACACATTTATCCTAGATTCCTTTCTATCATATCTTTATTACTATCCACCCTTCCATCAAGGGATTTGTTATTTTCGTTCCTCTACATTTTCCAATAATGTTTACACAATTTTTAATAAGTAACAGAGAGCGCATATCTGTATACCGCTCTTGTTTTAATAGAGATATAATATACTTTTAAAGTTGGACAGTACTGAACTCTAAACATAAACCGGTACCCGAGCTTATTGATTAAGGTTGTTGATAGTTAAATATATGCATTGCACGTGATATTTTCGATACGCAACACCGTACAACCGCCTACTTAAACTTGTAAAGAACGGACGTAGGCATGTATATACTTATTGTTATTCATTTTAATGAAAGCATAAAATTGCAAAACCTAATCAAACAATAGATTTTCATGACTAGAGATGTAGTTTCGTGCAATATGTTTCATACATTTACATTTCTTTCACGTCATTTCCTATATTGTTTTTACATGCTGTTTATCTGGGTGAATTTCTTATTCAGAAACTATTGAATAAGTTTGTTAAATCGTACAGTTTCTAGGACACTGTACAACTGTTCTCTATCTTAACTTTGGATGATAACTATTGATAAAAATATATGTTTTTATTCTATTCAAAATATTATTTTCTAACGTTTTCAATTCAAAAGAATGATACTAAAATTATTGAAGCGATAATTAGTCGTCAATCTCTACAGAAATGTGTAAATTATTTTAAAGCTAAATAGACACAGAATAAAAGTAATATGATAAAGAGTGTTACGAATATCAAGGTGATACGATTTTAAGTGACACTGTGCGCTAGAGCGAGAAGGCGAAGATAGAGGAAGAGAGAGAGGGAGGGTTTGGCCCGTGCTTCGTTGAGCGTGGAATCAATAGGAGGTCACTGGCACCAGTAAGTAGATACAATCGGCACATTTTAAGTCCACCCTCGGTGTTGCACAGCTTGCTCGCCTACTCGCCACACATTGTATTATGTGTAGTATTGTATGTATCGTATTGACCCTGCTTTACTTCTTCCTTTTTCGCGATTAATTCTAGGCACACTTATTGTTACAGCGAGGAGACTACAGTGGCTACAAAAAGTAGTCGTACATCTTCTTCAATGCAAACCTTTCTTTTGCCAGAGTTTACATTTTATTCAGACGATGCCAAATATTTGCCAATTTAAGAACGAACATAAAAATATTAGAAATTTATTTCATGGAACGAAAGGAAGCATGAATAATGCAAAATTTTCTGCATAAAATATTATATCATAGTATATAAAATATTCAGTATTAATTTCAACGTTCATATTCATTTGCAAAATACATTTTTGTCATATTCCTCATTTTATTAATTTTCTTTGGGTATTTCTTTACTTCAAGCAGACGTGTACGTATGCATGCATATTCGTTATTATTACAATTCTCGTTCCTCTTACTCCGCCACCACCTCTTTTCACGCTCTCACGTTCTCCCTTGCTTCTCTCCTTCCACCCTTTCCTTAATGACTGTTTTTTTATTTCTTTTTACAGCCTGTTTCTCGCATCCTCTGCTTCAAAAGCGACATGCGACTCAAAAGCGCTCAAAACAATGCGAAGAGCACAGTCTTAGAATACAATAACACGTCATTCCGTTAATGAAACTTATTAAAGAGAAGACTAATATTTATACTCGTAAAACTGGATCAAATCTTCTTCAATGTTTCCTCGATTCCTTAACTGTCTTTTCTACCGTGCCACTTTTTCATAATAAAAGACAAACAATAAGATCGTAAGCACTGTAGAATAGATATAATTGACAAGATAATTTTAGCGAATTGTAAGGAAATTCTTGTTCGAATATCTATTCTAATCTTGGTATCCTTTTAGTTACTGGCACCGGAAAACTAAATTTAGATTATTCCAACTGTAAAAATAGACAGATGATTCATTAATTGTTACTAAGAGTATTAAGAAAAAAATTATTAAAAATATAGGGCAGCATAAATTGTAATTGATTAAATATTGAATAGGTCGTAACATTTAAACAAATTACCACAAATAATGGAAATATAAACTACACAGATATGCGAGGAGAAAGTTACACGTAAATTTAAATTAACCATTCAAAAACTTAAATCGTGATTTTCGTAGGCCTTTTCATTATCATCGCAGCAAGGTCGAGTGAATTTGAAATTCACTCCTCGCAATCTATTAAAAAATGAAATAAGGCTTCAAATCGATGATAGTTAATCAAACATGTGTACAGTTTTTTAAATTTAATGTATCACGATTTGCTATCGTCATATTAATGAACAGTAATAAGAGATTCAAGATCATTATTATATACATTCTAGTCCACGATTATTATTGTTGTTATTATTAAAGAATGAAATATTATTAGTCGCATTATTAAACATCGTCAGTAAAAGGCTAAACCTTACCGAACGAAGTTCGCCTAAACTTCGACTAATACGATATATAGGGTGTCACACGAATCTGTAGCTATAATACTTGAAATGTTTCGAATATTTAATTGAAAGATTCAGAATTTATCGAACATAAATTTACCGTAATTAAATGAAGAGAAGAAAAAGAATGATATTTTTATAATGAAATCAGTCCAAATACGTGGCAACTGATACACGGACTTTCTGATACGTTCTTTAATAATGTACATATTTATTTATCAGCTTTTAAACATCATTATTTAATAATACTGAATATATATATGTGTCCGATGTCAATATGCAATGGTATCAAATTTTTATATTCAATATTGGACATTCGAAATTAGTATCTAATATTAACAAGTATAGTGAATANAAAAGGAAGCTATAGAAATCCGAAATATATCTTTTATCTTTAAATATTATATATATATACACATATGTACATACATATGTATGCATGTATATATTCTGACAGAGAGAATTATAAGGTTTTTAATACCTTGTATATTTCCGTACGTTACAATCTATTTTAAACCATCTTTTATATTTAAATTTTATATAAATCCATACATGTTCGCAATCTTTCTATGAAAAATCACTGTTATAAAAATACTTTAAACAAGTGGAAATTATATTTGAACCATTAAATAGCACGTACTCTGACAGGAGATATGTATTCTCGTTCCGATATTTCGTACGTTTTTGTACATCGTGCGCCTTATCCACATTATTTCTTATGGCAATGCATAGAAAATTGCAGTATAATGACAGAAAAAAGTGAGAAAAGTCTGTGATCGGGCGTATAGCTGTAATACGACTCGTCAGGAAAGGGGAATCGATCCAACACGTTAACGCGTGTCTGGCATCGAGGATGGCAGCCACCCGATGCAACGAAGGAAAAAGTATGCCTCACGAGAAACGAATGAGCCCCGTTCTATTACCTTTTTACCGATTTACCTTATTACATCCGTTCCGGAGCGTAAGCTCGTCACTTTCGTCGTTTTCACTCGTAATTCACCCACCGGGCTGCGAATTGTCACAAGAAAATGTCGCAATTATATTCTCGGTAACGCGAACGCGAGGCACTTACACGGGGTTGGTTCTTCGGAGGGTAAGTCGACTACTGACCGGATAGATGGCGCCCGCCACCCCTAGCATCGAATTCTCCCTTTTCAACCCCTCTCTCTATCGGAAACCATCGAACATGCAGCATCTTTACAGAGGCGAAACTCCTGGGAACGTGAAACTTTATTTCTTCCATTTCATGCCGCTAGGCAGATCTCTTCGCGTTATAGCTGGCGTTAGTAACACTGGTAATAAAAACTCATATACCACTCATATACAAACTATGTAGTTTATGGTTCAACTGTAAATGCTGTAAAGTTTTCCTGTTGTTTATCACAGTATTAAATTTTCACTCGCACAACGATTAGAGCAATAGAAGTATTTGATCATCATTATCAAAACAGGGAATTTTGAAGGTAAGCTGCTATTGCGCAAATTTCATTAATTATAAATTACCATATGTCAAATACAATCATTCTCCTGACAGAAAATGGTCTGTGAAAAGTGCGAGAAGAAACTGGGGAAGGTGATAACACCAGATCCTTGGAAAAACGGTGCAAGAAATACAGTGGAAAGTGGAGGACGTAAAGTTGGTGAAAATAAAGCACTCTCTGCAGGAAAAGCAAGGTTTAATCCTTATACAGCTACCTTTGAGACCTGCAGGATATGCAGACAAAAAGTACACCAGGTTGGCTCGCATTATTGTCAATCCTGTGCATATAAAAAAGCCATTTGTGCCATGTGCGGTAAAAAGTTGATGAGTACAAAGAATTACAAACAATCTGCAACTTAATGTGTAACATAAAAGACTATTTGTTTGTGAATTTGTATCATAATATTGAAAAAGTACTGACCATTTTATATATAACTAGATAAAAATTCTTCAGATTTGTATAGTTATTTTAAGCAAGTTAACTATCGTATATAGATTTCCATACATAGAAATTAATAAGAATTTAATGATTGGCTTTAATGAACTAAATATATAGAATATATATGGAATAAAATATTCAATATGTACCTTGCAATGTTAAATACATTGGATTTTAAAAGTAAATATTTATTTTCACATCCTTTTAAAATTATACAAATTTTATTGTTGTAACATTTTCAGTGTATCAGTATTATTACAATTTTCTTACAAACCTACATTTTCAGATACCTAATAACTATTTTTTTACTTGGATACTTAAGTCACATTATATATACGAAAATATTAAAATATGTAAGCAAGTATTAAAATATGTATAGCAGCATATTTACAAAATTTTACACATATCTTATGCTTGTAGTTAATTATATGTGTTTATCTATAAAAAAATAAACTTAATACAAACCATGTACATATGCCTAATGTGTGAAAATATGTATTTCTTAAATATAAAAAATAAAAACTAATAAATTCGAAATACAGATTAATATTATAATAAAATATATTCTATACTTGTTTTAACAGCATTTGAAAATGGCATTAATAATACGGATTTCAGTACATAAACA